CTACTGCACCTACTTTGGTCTAATGGATGGCAACAGAAAATCGGAGGCGAGCGTAGGCGCAGTGGCTGTCAAAGCCAAAATGTCCACGTACGCGGGTCACACACGAAATGAACATCACTCCATCTAAAAGGCTTTCAGAGGTCCGGCCGGAACCTTATATTAGTGACTTTAGAAAAGAACATGCCCAGAAGAAGACGCTGTAACCCGACTTTCAGTCCTGTGAACATTCGACCAACCCCTTTAGTTAGTAACTTTCCCGGGGCGAGTAATATATATGGTTAGATTACAATACCTCAAATTTGATACATATTACCCACTGTAATACTTGTTATAATGAGAAATATGATGATTAGCAGTGAGGATAGATCACCGTGCCGGCCTCGATATATTTTTTCCTTCTCATGCACAGCTAACTATACAAGTCTGTCAATCAACAGGTGCCCGGGCGACACAGCACGAAAAATTACTTCTAAGGCTTTTTACCAGAGGTATGTACGATTGTAGTTGTTGACATGCGCAAATTCTGGGTCTTCTGGTAAGCGAGTGCTGCAAACCGGCCTGATTGCGTTTGGAGATAATATAAGCACGCATGGACAATTGATGCATGCTTTTGCGGAAACAAACGCATGGGACTCAGAACTTGAGAAAGAAATCCGTAACATGTATATTGACAAGTAAATGTGATTTGTTAACTTTTATGCAGTAAAGCGGGCCGACGGTGGCCAAAGTAAGGAAGTTCGCTAATCATTAATCGCTTTCCGAGCCCAAAAAGTTGTCAGATATGTCTCCGTGTAAAGTCACCTTAATATAAAGTTCCTTCACATTTAAACTTAAAAAATGGAGTCAAGACACCACAGGATAATAATTTACTTACGTCAAAAATGATAGCCAGAAAAACGAGCATGTAAATTGGACCAAATAACCACGCTTGCCGAATTCGTACAACGCGGGCAGTAAAAGAACAGGCCTAAAACCACAGAGAAATCAACGGTAGAGGACAATGCGTTCGCGAGAACATTTATTCATGAGAGTTCCAAATTGTAAAGGCAAGTCAAGCGATACAGTGCTTAACCGAAAGCGTATAGCGGTTAATAAAAGCTATCTTAATTACTTGCAGAAATTTAACTTCACGATGAATTCGTACATCCACTGGAGAATCCGCAGATAGGAGTGCATCGCAGAGTATAGTTAATGAAAGTGAAGACCCAGAGAACGCAAAGAGTACTTCCTCTGATGTGGAGATTTTTAAGTCATTGACAGACATATCGGTCGGTTGCGACGAAAAAAATACATAATTACCGACATAATCAGTAAATAAGCAACCGAAAACAACTTTGTAATCACAGCCACTAAAATATAATGTAATTGCTGGAAAAGGAAAATAAAAGCACTAATCAGGCTACAAAAGAAAATAAAACTGAGAACGTTGTTGTATATCCAGTTTTATTATTTTATTGGAATATGCCATGGTCGGTGCACTTTGGTTTAAGTTGACTGAAGACATTTTGATGTCGCCTTACATGCCGCCGCTGACAGCCCTTCCACTTTCGTTCGCTGTAAGCACTGCCTCTGCAGTACTGCCGTCTGTGAGGGCCTAACTAGTCGGTGCACGCAGCGCTGAACTTACTACCGGTAATATAGTTGATATTTCAGAACCTCCCTTCTTCTCAGTTGAAGCACTTGCACCCGTGGCAGAGTTCATCTTTTTAACCTTCTAACCTGCATTTTAATTATATGATGGTTTTTTTCTTCACTCCGGTACCTTTCACTTACGACATCTTAATTTGGGTGTCCGATGGGGCGCTTAACGAAAACTGCCCAGAATGGTTTATTTAACTGGACGTTTCCCTCCTCTGCATCAATGGGCGATACTTTCCGAAATCAGTGGGCCACTGCATGCAAATACAGCCCAAAGCTGGGTCCCAACTTATTACCTTGTTTACTCAGGATAGCGTGTTTTTTGATAAATGACTTCGCGGAAGTGAACATTTCTCCACTGTAAAGTGGACAGC